GGGGGGGGGGGGTGTGGGTTTATTATCTGTTTCTGTGGCAATCACCCCAGCAAGGGGGAGGCTGGAAGTGATGGCCAGCCCTGCCCATGGCAAGCGCTGGGGGACAGTGACCCCCTCCAAGGGGATGCAGCAGCCCTGGACCCGGGGTTCAGCTGAGCCAGCATCCAGGCAGGGAAAAATAAAAGCAGAGATGAAGAAGAAGAAGGGGAAGAAGTAAGAGAGGGGTTTCCTCTTTCCTACAGTGGCATTTCGGTGCTGGCTGGCCACACCACAGGCTCGGGCTGTGGGGTTCCCACTCAAACCCTGGGGTGGGAGCAGAGGGATCTCCTGCCCAGGTGTGCAGGAAGGCAACAAAAAGAAAAGCATCCCAAATAAATCCAAATCAGCCAAGGCCCGGCCCAAAAGGGAAAACACACACTGGGAGCTTGTGGAGCTGGGACAGACGGGGTTGGGACACTGTCCCCTGCCCCTTGGGGACTGTGATGCCCTGGACCTGCCTCTCTCCACGGAGCAAGCTTTCAACCTTTCCCCACTGCAGTCCCCTGATGTTTTCCCTGGGTTGTTTAACTTTTGGTTTGGTTTTTTTCTTTTTTTGTCTGTCCCAGCCCGAGGAGGGGCTAAACAAGCACATGTCCCCACATTTCTAATTTCTTGCCCCATCCATCCGCCCCTACACCCAGGATCTGCTGTCGCTCCCACCCGTTGGCTCTGGCCGCTGCCCCTATTTCTCACTAATTATGTTTGCCTTCGTTACCCGGCCCCTAAGGGGGGACTCAAATGGAGCAGGCGTGCTCGGACCCTGGATGGAAACGAACACAAAGTCGAAGGGCTGAAAGACACAGAAATGCATTCTACCGACGGCACGAGGAGACGGGGAAGAGAAAAGAGGGGAAGAAAGAAAAAATATTACGTGGACAGGGCAAAAAATAGAAATAACATAAGAGAAGAGCATGGCTTTGCAGCTAACTGGGGAAAACCATACAAATAAAAAAAATTTATATATAGCCACCAAAAAGAGACAAAATGAAAGAGAGACAGAGAAGGAGAGCAAGAAAGAAAGAGAAAGAAAGTCAGAAAGAAAGAGAAAATAACATTAAATCAAGCTACGGTGCTTTTCAACAGGCTCATCTGCAGAAGTGAACGTGCAGAGGTGGACGAAATACCTACCTTTGCAATTGGCAGTGACAGGAATGCGATAATAAAAAAGAAAACAATAATCTCCACATTTGGAGGGCAGAATGGGAAAAAGACAAGGACTCTTTAGTACGGCGATCCAGACCCCCTGGCTAATCCCGTTTGCTTTGCTTAGAATCTTTTGAATTATTTTTAAAATTGGTCTCGTTAGCTTTTTATTTTTTTACTTTTTTTTTTTTTTTAAATGGAAAGGCTGTGGCCGGCCACCGAGCAGGGTGGCCGCAGGGGGTTTGCTGGCTGGTGTCTGTAACCCGGCTGCATTTCAGTCTTAAAAAGTCGCTATATAACATGGCAAAGTCCCGGATAACATGCAGGGAAGGCGATGGATGGAGGTGGGACATGGCAAGGGTTGTTTGGGTTGTATTGGCCCAAAGAAAACCGGAGAGAAAGAGGGGCCGGAGGGTGCATGTGGGCGAGGAGGAGGAGGAGAGACCCAGGAGGAAGGCTGGGGAAGGCAGCAGGGATGGATGGAGACGGGACCGGGTATTTAAAAGGGAAGGCAACGCCGGACAGAACCCCAGGGCACCCCTTCCTCCCAGCAGCCCTGGGAGCGCTGGGGGGGCACAGCTCACCTGGGCGTTGGGCTGAATCTGGAGCTTTTGGGGGGTCTGCAGGATGCAGGAGGGGTCAGGTACTGAGGATGCTCAGCACTCATCCTGCCGGGATGCAAGATGCAGGCACCCAGGTGCACGATGGCCACAGGGTGCTTGGTGTGTGCGTGGGGGGGTGGATAACCCAGCACCCAACGGCCTCATCCTGCAACCGTGGAGGAAAACCACCCCCACAGCAGCAGGATCCAGCCAAGAAAACGGGGCAGTAGCCAATTGAAGGAGGCAAAGGGCAATTTGCTCTGCAATATCGACGCGAGCCTGCTACCTTTGCAGTGTAGAGCTGCTCAGTTCTCTTCCCTTTTAAATTCCTTGTTCAAAATATAGAAAATGGAAATACAATGTTCAGCGGTCGTAAATATTTAGAAAACACATCTGCTTTTTTTTTTTTTTTCTTCTCCACATTAACACACACAAAAGCAAAAAATTCTAGAACAACACGACGACAACGGGGGGGGGAAAAAATAAGAGAGATATATATCTGTTGCATTTCTGTACATCACAAGGGAAAAGAAATCATGAGAAAGAAAACTAAAACAAGGGGGGGGAAAAAAGCACGTTTCATTGCCCTTCCCTCCCACTCGTCCCTGCTTCTGCTGAGCAAGAAATGGAAGTGTATATTACCGTTTGGGTTTTTTTCAAATGGGAGGCTAAAGAAAAACACAGA